AGTTTTATTACAGAGCTGAGCAAACAGCCAAGAAGTCATTGACAGAGAAACATCAAATGTTGATGTTCCGAGCTGCTGGCAGTCATTGCTTTCTTGCTACTTTGTTCTAGCTTTGGGCAACTAGAACAGAGTATGGGTATTGATGGTGTTACTCTCTGCTTATTCCTAGTAAATGTTTTTTAAGAACCAGCTCCTGAAAAGGCAAAAGATAAAGGTAGATAGATTAAAATATAAAGCAAAAATGTCATTAAGAACATTAGAACAAGAAGCCTATTCAATGGGGAGAAAATAAAACGGGAAGGAAGGAATCCACAGCATTATTTCTTGCATAGTAAAAATCTCAAGGTGCGGTGTATAAATGTACAAAACTATGTAGAGGAGGACTCTAAATGCTTTGCTTTATGGTTGAAATCCACTTTATTTTCTAGAACAACATCCTTGAGTTGTCTCCACTGTAAACTAGTCATATCTGTAATAGAATATCTAAGTTTGTTGGTTGGATTCTTTTAAGTTATTATTTGACAACATCTTTAAAGAGACTTTCTTCAAAACTGAAAACTATTTCATTTCTGTGGCACAACGTCTTCTATTTGTTTTTATCTATATATTGCAGGTGGGCTAAATTTGGGGGTTGATACAGAAAACAAATGGATAATAATGAAGATCCAGTTCTATACAAGTCTCTCACACCCAGCTATTTCTAATACTTTGGCCTCTTCAGGAACCTGCTTAGTAAGGTTCCATGGGATATAGCCCTAGAGGGCAGGGGGGCCCAAGACTCTTGGTTGATATTCAAGGATCACCTGCTACAAGCTGAGGAGTGTTGCATCCCAACCAGAAGGAAGTGCAGCAGGAGGGCCAGGAGACCTCCTTGGATGGATAAGGAGCTGCTGAGGAAAATTCAAAGGTAAAAAGAGGCTTATAAAAAGTGGAAGCAAGGACAGGAGGCCTGGGAAGAATACAGGGATGTTGTCAGGGAAGCTAGGGACCAGGTTAGGAAAGCTAAGGCCCAGTTAGAATTAAACTTGGCTAGGGATATTAAGGATAACAGGAAGGGATTCTACAGGTACATAGCAAATAAAAAACAGACTAGGGACAATGTAGGCCCCCTCAGGAAGCTCTCAGGAGAACTGGCTACACAGGATTTGGAGAAGGCTGAGGTTCTGAATGACTTCTTTGCCTCAGTCTTCACTGGCAAAGGCTCTGACCAAACCACCCAAGTCTTGGAAGGCAGGTGCAGGGACTGTGAGAATGAAGTCCTTGTGCCCACTGTAGGAGAGGATCTGGTTTGAGACCATCTTAAAAATCTGAACGTGCACAAGTCCATGGGACCTGATGAAATCCATCCACGGGTCCTGAAGGAGCTGGTGAATGAAGTTGCGAAGCCGCTGGCCATCATATTTGAGAAATCATGGCAGTCAGGTGAAGTTCCCGATGACTGGAAAAAGGGAAATATAACCCCCATTTTCAAGAAGGGGAAAATGGATGACCCGGGGAATTACAGACCAGTCAGTCTCACCTCTGTGCCTGGCAAAATCTTGGAGCAGATTCTTCTGGAAGGCACGCTAAGGCACATGAAAAACAACAAGGTGCTTGGTGACAGCCAGCATGGCTTCACTAAGGGGAAATCCTGCCTGACCAATTTGGTGGCCTTCTGTGATGGGGCTACAGAACTGATGGACAGGGGTAGAGCAGTTGATGTCATCTACCTGGACTTCTGCAAAGCACTCGACACCGTCCCACACGACATCCTTGTCTCTAAGTTGGAGAGACATCAATTTGGTGGATGGACCACTCAGTGGATAAAGAACTGTCTGGATGGCTGCACACAAAGAGTTGTGGTCAATGGCTCAATGTCCGGCTGGAGACCAGTAATGAGTGGTGTCCCTCAGGGATTGGTGTTGGGATTGGTCTTGTTCAACATCTGCATCGGTGACATGGACAGTGGGATTGAGTGCGCCCTCAGCAAGTTTGCCGATGACACCAAGCTGTGTGGTTCGGTTGATACCCTGGAGGGAAGGAATGCCATCCAGAGGGACCCTGACACACTTGTGGGGTGGGCTGATGCCAACCTCATGAGGTTTAACCATGCCAAGTGCAAGGTCCTACAGCTGGGTTGGAGCAATCCCAGGCACAGCTACAGGTGGGGCAGAGAAGAGATTCAGAGCAGCCCTGCAGAGAAGGACTTGGAGGTGCTGGTCGATGAGAAAATGAACATGAGCCTGCTTCAATGTGCACTCGCAGCCCAGAAAGCCAACTGTATCCTGGGCTGCATCAAAAGGAGCGTGACCAGTATGTCAAAGGAGGTGATCCTGCCCCTCTACTCTGCTCTTGTGAGACCTCACCTGGAGTATTGTGTGATGTTCTGGTGTCCTCAACATAAAAAGGACATGGAACTGTTGGAACAAGTCCAGAGGAGGGCCACAAGGATGATCAGGGGACTGGAGCACCTCCCATATGAAGACAGGCTGAGAAAGTTGGGGCTGTTCAGCCTGGAGAAGAGAAGGCTGCATGGAGACCTCATAGCAGCCTCCCAGTATCGGAAAGGGGGCCTATAGGGATGCTGGGGAGGGACTCTTCATTAGGGAAGGGGTACTCTTCAAGGGGTAACAGGTTAAAACTTAAACGGGAAGTTTAGATTAGCTATAAAGAGGAAGTTCTTTACTGTAAGGGTGGTGAGGCACTGGAATGGGTTGCCCAGGGAGGTTGTGAATGTTCCATCCCTGGCAGTGTTCAAGACCAGGTTGGACGAGGCCTTGGGTGATATGATTTAGTGTGAGGTGTCCCTGCCCATGGCAGGGGGTTTGGAACTTGATCTTAAGGTCCTTTCCAGCCCTAACTATTCTATGATTCTAATCCTAGCTACATTCTCTAAACTTACATTCTGTATGATTGAAAGTGTACACAGAAAAGAAGCTGTATGAAGGAAATGTGTGTGGAAGGAGAGCGAGCTGAAATTCAGAGGGATTATATGTATTATTCTGTGTAATGGTGAGTAAGAGGAGACCAGGTATCAAGTTAAACATGAGATATTAAAACTGAGGACCTAAGTTTCATTTTTATTCTGACTGTTGTTCATGAGATCAGTGTCAGAAAGGGGTATAGTTTGGGCTGTTTCATTGCAGGTTGTCAATCAACTCAGAAGCTGTCAGAGTTAATTTTAGGAGTTTTTTAGGTTTGAGTGGATGAATCTCAGTGAAATGTGAAAAGTAGGTAGTGGGTACTGTGGATTTCATGATCAAGTATTTGTTAAGATCTGTGGTCACTCTTTTTCATCGGATTGCGGAACCTTTTGTCTCCTTCCTCTTAGTAGTGCCTGAAATGTAATACTAGCCTCTTTGTGTACAAGAATTGAGACACCGTCTGGTACTTGGAGAGAGGTAATCCCAATGTACCAGGTTTTCCACTTGAAGGTTATCCTGACTATACCATGTCAGCCTGAGGAGTAATCACTCCAGATGATAAAAAGACTCCAATCTTTTCATCCCATTTTTCTCTGTGAATCATGCTAACCTTTACTACAAGTGGCAAACCCGCTGTATCTCAATCTCGTGGTACTGCTCATGATTCAGGAATACTGATTTTGCCAATTTGGACTTATACAGAGCTTCATTGAGCAATTTGACTTGCATATTCTGGGCAGTCTGCCTCAGTTAACTGACATCCAGGGGCAGGACAAGATCATCCATCTAAGTGATGGTCTCTCCATGAGCTGTGCACCTTTGTGGTTCTTTGCTAAAGTACCGCGTGCCAGAGGCAGAGCCTGAACTGATACAAAGCACGTGAGCCAAATGACTTGTCAGATTTTAAATATCACGATTCCTGTGTTGTAGAGAACCTTGTGATTGCATTATTGCAGTTAAGAAAAAGCCCCCAAAACAGTTTGCAGAAGGCTTCTGGCTTCTAAGGAAAGCTTAATCGTGTTCATTTCTAAGTATGAAATGCTAAATGTGCTCTATTTGTATAGTTCTTATTATTTTTTCTTTATTATCAGTATAGAGCAGGGGGTTTCAGTGGTAAGCAGAATGCTTTAAAGGAAGAGAGCATCATAATTGCAATTTCACAAGGGACCGTCCTAGTGCCTTCACCAGAAACTGAATATTAAAAGGGATTTTTTTAATGAAGAACTTCACAAAGAAAATAAGTTTTTTATCCTTAGGTGAGTTCGTTACTCTGGAAGTTGCTGTTGTTACGAATGTATTGTTATTAATTCTGACTGGATTAAGCATTAATAACAACTAGGATAAGATGTGTCCCCCAAATCGTATTTATTTCTGTATCTGAGCAGATGCTCTGGCTTAAAGGCTTGGCTTGCTAATGCCATCTTTGTCTTTATAAATTACAGGGAGTTAAAGGTGGAGCCTGCTGCTACCTGAGTTTGTTTCCTTGATCCAGTGGCTGTGGTGTTAAATACTCCAGAAAGCCCGAACTGTTGTGACAGGCACTGTAAAGCAGGCTGGGTATGTAGGGAGCCCTTCCGCTGTCTGAGGAAACTAACATGAACAAAGCAAAGACAGTATTTATTTAAAAAAGTAAATCATATCCTGATTGCTATGAAGTGAGCTGGCATCTTCTGTAGTGCATCTGTATCGATGGGGACTCTGGATGCCTATACAGGATAGGAAGGAGCAGTCTAATGACTAAGTAATGCCTGGCAGTAGTCGAGATGATGACGGTTCCCTGTGAGATGCATGTTGACACTCAATTAAGTTCATGAGTGATCACATTGATACCCACCACTGCAGTCCTTGGCAGCTGGCTGAGACACAAAGGTTAACTTGCCAAATATTAATTAGTCTCTAAGGGTGAAACATGTTCTCTTCACATAAAAGTAAATGAGCTTTGTGGCGGCTGGGGAAAATGTGTAGCTGGACAGTTCTACCTGTGAAGCTTATTGTGTTTTGGACATCAAAACCATGAATGGGTTTAAAAAACTCCCATGCCAACTTATAGAAAAGTGTCCGGTGAGATTTATTGAAGCACAGTGATACAAATGTCTTTGTCATACCAAGCCCAAGATTTCTGTTTCCTGAAAGTTAGGAGGCTTTGTCAGGGAAAAAGCTATTTTCTAGTGGTCTTGCCTCTTACTCACCTTTTGTAAAACATTCTCTACAGACTAATACTGCAGACAGACCCCATCTGCCCATTTTTATTTTTAACACACTTAGGTATAGACCTAAACTTCTAAGCAGTGAAGCAACTGCACTTGACATTCTGCTCATACAGCTTGCTTGAAGTCCCGTACAGGTTTTTACGTCACACACTTTATTTACATTATTTATATTTATTCTAACATTATAATTCTTGCTTATTCTATTGTTATAGAAAACAACATTGTTTAGACAAAGGAATTTTTACTCTGACTTTTGAACAATTTCAAAAGCAAGAGTAGTTCTGCTTTGGATATCCCAGTGATACAGCTGCTTCGTATTTGATTATACGCAGGCTGTCCAAAATGTTATTCAGACAATGTATTATTCACAACAGTAACAAGTAAAATATTGGTCTCTTATCCTCTATTCTGTATTAGTATGTTTTTCCTGTGTACCACGATCAATGAATTACAGACACAGGGCATCCTGGTCAGTGACATTACGTCAGATATGTCAAAGCTACACTTGCGATGTTGTTTCTTTGAAGACTTGCCTAGCTAGCTGCTGGGATAGATTTTGTTGTAACATTGGTTTTGTCACAGTTTGTGTTTTGAACGTTGATGTTGGGGTCATTCATGCCTGAGACAGTGGAGATCTGGTTGGCTTTGCCGAGGTTCTTGATGATATTGATGTTGTATTTGGCAGTTTCCACAAAGCTGTTTTCTAGTAACCAACCATCTGACTCGCCCTCCAAATCTCCTAGCAGGAGGACATTCTTCATTGCTGTTTGTAGGTACCGGACACCAATAAGGACAGAGAGCTGTAAGAAACAGTTAATAGTTAAACAAGAGTTTAAATTACACCGTCAATCCTACCACTAAGTCAGCTGACTTGTGTATTTACAGGCTTAATAAATAATACTGAATAAAGCAGACAAATTCCTTACCCCAGCAGTATATCAAACCACTCTCCCAATTAACTGCATTTTTGTAGAAAGAAAAATACCAGGGAGAGAGTGATTGATTCTTCTCTCCATTAATCAGGTATCATTCCCACTTGGATGTTATTGGCACATCAATACCCAGAATTACTCAGGAACACTGCAGCCTCAGAGACTATAACTAATTGCTGTAGAATGGACGATCAATTAATGGAACTATCAGTCACCATGGGGAAAAAAAAGAATAGATTGTAGTGTGTTAATTTCAGTGGATTTCTTTTTTTCCACTGACCTTGATTAAATCAGTATTTCCTCCAAGGAGTCCATTCATGTGGAAGCCAGATGTGTTCTACATGCCAATGCACTGAAATTAAGAAGGATTGCCTATAGCAGAGGCTCAAATATAAGTATAGGAAAAAGCCCCACTTCCATAGTTCTCCGGAAATTGAGATCATGGTGCCCGTGTGTCAATGTTTAAGGGAGTGAGGAGAGCCAGCCCCCAGCTTTCTCAAGGTGCTGCCAAAGGCCTGTTGTTTCTGGCACCACAACCACATCCAGCACTGCTGAAGGACTGTTGGGAACTATTTTAATTACAGTGCTAATATTCATGCAATACAGCAATAATCAGAAAATGAAAACTTGCTAAAAAGGGAAGAAACCCATATTTTAGCCTATGCTATCGTGGAGTCCTTTACCTGTGGATGACAACATTCAGTTTACAGCCAGAGTGCATCTTCACAGGTGTATGTGCTTGCCTGTGAATGCTTATTTTGATTGTATAATAAGCAGTCTAATCTACATCTAAAAAGGTATGCCATATTCGCAAGTACTGGCCATGTGATGAAGCTATGGAATGCAAAAAGGAGGCTTTGAGATAGTAGTACCTATGCTGAATTTTTCCTATGAAGTTAATGTATTTGGCTGAAGACCTGTTCATGTTTTTTATATTCTTTTTAAAACTGACTTAAAACAGTCTTCAGACCTCATTTCCGTGCAGTTGTCACTGCATGCATCATCCTGTAATTGATCCAATAAAGGCTTCAGGGAAGGGAATATGCCATAGTCTACTAAAAAAGCTCTGCAAACATGCAGGATTATATACACCATTTCTAATAGTTCTTATCTTCCGTGAGATTTGCTTCTGTGCTGGGAAGTTGTCTTCACTGAAGGAAATCCTGCAACATTGTTGAAGTGCATTTGGATTTTCTATTGGATACTGAGGCACTCTTCATATGTTACACTCTAGTTATTTGTAGTTATTATGTAGTTAAGAGAGTAGGAAGACTCTGATTAATCTGAGGAGTGTTTTTATGAGGCTTACCTCAAACAACCAAATAAGTAGTGCTGTAATACCAATGGATCTCATAATGACCATGTAGTACTCCAGCAGGGCCTCTCTGCACCCCGTCACCCAGATATTGAGCTCCTCTGTCAGAAAGTCGTAGTTGTAGTGAGCGCTGTTGTTAGTCAGCTGGTACTGGATACAGGGCCGTGGGGAGCTTGGGTTGCAGCAGCTGAAGGGTACTCCATCCACCAAGAACTTCCCATCAACGTTGCTCTTCAGGCGGCTGCAGCGGGACAGAAAGTTTGGGCATTACAAATCTGTTAGCAGCAAACAGTGTCTGTGATCTTTAATAAAGGCTATAATGCAAATATGCTGCAATGTAGCCATCTCCAATGTAACAACAGGCAAATGGGAATATCTTTCCAACTGGAAAAGTTGTTTACTGCAGGAAAACTGTATTTTTCCTTTCCTGTGTTTCTGAAATGTGGTATCAGCACAGTATTTCACATGGTTCTCAGTACTGTGCATGCAAGATATGTGTTCAGCTTTCATGGGGGGGTGGGGGTGGTGGTGTCACCTTTTTGGGTATATTTGTGCTGAAAATACTCAAGACAATTTCTGAACTTGTTTATCTTGGTAGAACTCTAGTGGAAGTTTTGGCCCCAGAAATCCTGTTTCACCACTTCTGGATTGATTTTTTCAGCACGAGCATTCCTTAAGAGAGAACCTAACACAAGAACAACTTTACATGCCACAGGAATGGCTGGAAATTGTCCACTGGCATTTATTTCATCATTGTAGCCACACGCAATGGCTGGTTCAACACCTGTCCTGAGAGTCACAAGGGAGTTTCTACTTCTTACAACTATGCTTTCTGTAACTTTTGAAACTGTTCATGTTTATTGCTAGAAATGATTCCTTCCCCTTCCCTACAAGATCAGGAGAGAAACAAGTGGGAAAGAAGAAAGATAAAGAAATTGGAGAGAGAACAAAAGAATCATATGCTGGAAAGAGAACTGAGTCTCAGATTAATCAAGAGTTTCTGGAACAGTTAAATGAATCCTTGACATCCACTTTCCTTGTATTATCTGCTCTTATGCTAGTGGGCCCTTGTGAGGACTTCTATTCTCAGAAGGCTCTTCAGAGAAATAGATTTTCCATATCATGGAGAGTATCTAATATGTTGAGAGATGCTCTCACACTTTGGGGAAGTAGCCTTTAAGCATGTATCTATTATCATGCTCATCACAGATGTCTTATTTCCTGAGGTAGCCCCACAGGTGAGAATCTGTTTTAATGAACACCATGCACTTTAGCCTTTGTTAGGGAGCCAGAATACATGAAAGAACTTTCTCTGAGAGATCCAGCTTTCAGCACTTGCTAATAGTAGAACTTTTAAGATTTTCCAAAACTTTTCCTCATTTATCAACATTCACAGATCATATTTCCTGCTCCACTGCAGATGATCTAAATTAAATGGGAAGAAGTCTTCTCAAGAAGCTCGTCAGGTGAACAGAAAGCAGAAACACTGTGGTTCAGTGCTCTTCCAGCATTTTGAGACTAAATGTATCCTTCATGAAACATAAGGTGCTAGGAAGTTCAGCAGCTGTGGCTGGGCTGGGGTAGCAGAATAACTGCCTTCATTTTATTGCTGTGGGCCTGCTAAATACAACCTCCAGCCTTTGTTTTTCCCTTTCTCTTTTTTTGGGGGGTGGTGTGTTTTGTTTAACATTGTGTCAAAAATACCTTCCTGAAAGATCTTTCTAAGTCAGGAAATTCATCTTTGATTTTTCCCACCTAGGAGTGGCTTAGGTGAACTCTTCTCCATCTTAAAGTGTAGGTCTTCACTTTGTGGCCATCATATTCCTGGTAATGGCAACAGAATGAAACCAACGCAAAAGAACTGAAATAATGCATTGAAACCGGACTGAAGTGTGCAAGTTGTGTAAGAGGCAGAGGAAAAACCACTCACTGGGAGGGAAGCAAGAATGGGAGCCAAAGAGGTACAAACAGGAATGCTCAAATGTGAGAGGAGAAAAGAAACCTCACAGAGGCAGGAGAGGATGGCCGGTACACTGTGAAAGGGAAGCTTTTCCCTGGGCCAGCAGAACGCCCTGCATATTTCAGTGACATGATCCACATACCGCACGGCATCTGAAGTGGTTAAAATGTGATCTCTTACACCGGCTTTTAAGCTTTTCTTTGATCCCAATCACCAATTATTTTTTTTTGCTTCCTGTCACATGTTACAAGGAGGAATCTTCTTCCTACTGATAACATTTGCAGTTTCCAGACTTGAGTGATGTCTCCCTGCCATTATGTTTCCTCTTGCTAGTGGCAATTAAGGGATGACATATCTTGGTACTGTTAGAAGGGAAGACCTCAGTACCAGAGCTGAGAGAGGAAGACACTCACTGCTATTTGTTGTTGCAATGCAAATTCATTACAGTACTGCAAAGCAAAACTTGCTTTTGAGACTCTGAAAAGGTGATTTTTACCCAACCAGTGATAGGACTATACTGCTGTAGCCTGCCTCATCCTCCTGCTCCCCACTGACTCCCCATTTCTTGTCACATCGTGGTGTTGACTATGGAGATGCAGAAGAGAGGGGAGGGAAGAGGATTATGAAGGAAGGTGAAAAGTTCAGTTCTGTAAGGTCACATGCCAACTGGCAGCATGTCAGCTCTCATGCTTTGGCTCTTAATCTACCAAGTACTAACTGACGTACAGTGCAAGATAAAACCAAGGAAAATGTTTGGTTCCTTCTCCATCCTTTCTGAACCAGCTGGACTCTGCTTCCAATGATTTCCTATCAAATGATCCACTATTAAATTTTTTGGAAGTTGCTGTATAATTTGGTTACACAGCACCAGCTTGCATTCCTGCATTAAGACGTTCCATCTCAATCAAGATGGGGTTAACCCAATTCACATGCAGTAAAAGAAATTCTGCAGTGCAGTTACTTCTCTCACACATTTCATTGGCATCTTCTCCCTACATGGAACAAAAATTAACCTAACAGTGTATTTTCTAAGTAAGGGCATAGCACAGGTGAACCTGCAGAGGAAAACAGAGCTTGGCTAAGACCCTAGGTAAAACATTACTGTTTTGGCTTGTCTCAAAAATAGAAGGCTGTATATTTTACTTCTCACAATAAGATACTATTCTTAAGTTCCTGTGGACCATCTTTGTTGTCATGTTGCTTTTCAGTGTAGGACCAGGATTTAAATCACCTCTTAGGTCTGTCTGCTTTGTGTCACTGCTGCTTTCCAACTTTTCTCTCAAGAACACTTGTTCTACAGCTTGCTTTATTTCCATGGCCAACTGCCTTACTCATGTTGATGCCCTCTTAGCTATATTCTCCTAGGCCCTGTCCTCCGAGATGTTTGCAGCTCTGTATATATGCTTTGCTTTGATGGTAGTTTCCAGTTGCAAATGCTGTGAAGGTGAGATCTTTGGCCTCTCTTCCTTTGGCTTTACTGACACCAACAAAACAGGATACTTGACAAATGCCAGTCAAGCTTTTTGTGTTTGTCTTTCCCAAGAACATACGTAGCTACTACACTGTCATCAGTGAACACTTATTTTCAGCTTTAGAAAAATGATTATATACTGGATTGTCTAGTATTTACAAATATTGTTAAGTTTTCTATTTATTGTAAGAATAACCAGACTCTTCTTTTTGGCCATATAATTTCACAATTGCTACATCATGTGAAAAACCACTCCCTTCCTGCCCGAAAAATGCAAGGGTTTTTCTCCTCCTTTTTTATGCCATGTACCTGTTGTTGGCAGTTTCTCATGTGTGAACATATGGAACTGAAACTAGATTTGCAGCCTAGTATCTTGAAGGAGGAGGATCTTTCAGTGTTTAGGATTGACTGTGCAATGTACTGATGGTAGAACTTTTTTCTTTCCAGTATCAGCTCACTATAATGGAAATTTTGAGGTAGCTAATCCACCACATTAAAAAAGGAAAGATAAATCCTTGCTTTGCTTAGCATCCCTTTTGCTAAAAAGTCAGCAAAAGGCAAGTTCTGATTGTGCACGTAGGTAGCATATATTGTGAGCAACGTGGTCATTCTTTCTGATTAAGAGACAAAGGTCCAGTCAAAACTACTATCTGCCTTCTTGAATGAGGTTTTTTGCCTAGATTTCTTTCGTTATGACTAGTAAATACTTACTCCAGAACTTCCTTGGAAGCCATATTCAGGTAACGATGAGATACCCACTGAATTTCAAACCAGTCTCTAAAGCCATTGTTTCCACAGCACTGGAAACCAATTTGTAACATATCCACTGTTTTCTTTAAGAAACATCGTCCAGGTATGTCTGTGTCCTTATAGAACTTAATAGCATCCCTCAGTCCCAGATAGAGAGACTCTTCCAGCTCGTTCCTCATGGTATAGCACATGAGAGCACCCACCAGGATGCAGAAGGTAAAACAGAAGGTGCACACGATGTATGGGAGCATAACTAGTTTCCATCGAGAGAACTTGTTGGTATCTGAGCAGTCATAGCAGATTTTGCCACCCAGGAAGTTGATGATACATGCTATGACCCCTACGGAGATCAGCATGTTGGGGACAGAGTTAACATCCCCTTTTGCCATCACTTCGTTGCGCTTCTTGATCTCTATTTTCAGAAAGAGGCCAAGACTGAAGAGAATGATCCCGCTCACTACAGAAACCCAGTTGAGGATCCATAAGATCTGAGCCAATTTGTCCCTCTTAGTTTTGGTGAATTTTACTTTGAGGACAGCCATAGTCGGATCAGAGTTAGGAAATAAAGCGTAGGTCAAGGAAAGCTTGTAAGCTGATTAGAAACATCTATCCAAGGCATGCAGCAGAAATCTGAAGGGGAGAGAGAGAGAGAGATTACTGTCTGTTTGACCAGGTATTTATCGAGGCTACAGGAAACTTCCTGTACAGCCTCACACACTCTGAGCCCTGCCAAGGGAGTCCGCCAGGGACATTTATAGCTTGAATTTCAGCTGTAACAGTTGTTTTTCTTCCTAGTAGCTGATGCAGTGCTGTTTCCTTTAATAACTTTCCCATGTGATCTGCAGATTCTTATTTTTCTCTTCAAAGTCACAATGATGGGCATAAAATACATTCAGAGAGGAACCCCCCTGAGTTTCAAATCAGTATTTCAGTTTCACAGCTGAAGGAGGACTTCGGTGTTCCAAGGTCTATCTTGTTTTCCCTAGCTATTAGTGGATCTAAGGAAAGATACCATCTTCCCCAGCACTTTTAACCTTGCTTCTCTGCAGCACTACTAATGTTGTGTAACTTCTCCTTTGCATCTCTCCAGTTGCATCACAATCACAGGCAGAAAGCAGCTAATAGCATCCAAGATCTAAAACCCATTGGAGCTGGAGACAATGTGTTTCAGTGTATGCGATGTGCATGTAGAACTATGCTGCAGTACCTCAGGATCAAGCAATGATCTTTTTACCTGTCTTCAATGCTTCTGATGCTTTGCGATTGCCTTTCCTCATTTATATGTTTATAGAGTCATCTAATTCCACTAATACAATGGCATTTATTGACTGTAAAACATAATCCTGTAAATTTGGGGAAATACAGAAGTATAAGCAGCATTATTCTTGTATAATATTTTTTAAGCTAGGGGATGCTACTACTTCACTCTGAATAAAACTGGTATTGGCTAAACCAGCATGAAAACCGTCAGCAGACTAGCTGTACAGAAGTAGGGCTACACCTACCCACTAAAGGATCCACAGCTGCAACAAAGTTTAACCTGGGGTAATCAGATTGTTGTAGACTACAATTTAAAAAGGTAATGGCATCCCAGCATCTTCATCTGTGCATGTTGGCAGGAGTCAGTTCTGTTTTAGAGGTGAGGAACAGGTTGTTCCATTCATATCAGGATATGGTTAGACATCTTCATGCATTTCAATATAAAAACATTTTAATGCCTGAGAGATCTACTTAATTTTTATTGATTTATTTTCTCCTGCTCTTATAGAGGAAACTACTTCCCCTCAAAACTATTAATTTTTATATATTTTGTACAATACAGGGAAAAGTGTGAAAAATGCACAGTATTTTTCTTATTTCCAAAGGTGTTGAGGCCAGCAGTTCTCTGACTTTAAAAACAGGGTGCTGGTTTTAATGATTGTTAAAGCTGATTATCCATTGTGGCTGAATATTGATTCTGATCATACTGTTATAAGCATATCAGTTGTAATTATGAAATACTGATTACTGATAGACACCTCTGTACAAACAAGCTCAGACAACAGTCATTCATAAAATGACAACAGTTTGCTCACACTGATCTTCTACAATATTCTTCAGACCTCATTCAGAAAGATCATGCTCTGCTGGCACAGAATTAAGCCTCCATATGCATTCAGCTGACAGCCTAAGCCTGGAAACAGTATCTTTGATGGCTTCACCAGCTAAGCAGTTCATGACTTGAACTTAAATAGCTGTAGATGGCTGCTGCAAATAGGTTTATTTGCCCGATACTCAGGTTTCAGAGCTCACAATAGAGAGAATCTGTTGTGAAACCCCTAGCTGCTGATACGCAACTCATGTTCAATGGCCAGTGTATATGAATACATCACTCCCTGTTCACTACTATGAAAAACACTTGTGTATTTACACAATGCCTCTGAAATGTTAGGCACATGTATAATTACAGTGTCACTGAGAACACCCTGCTTGCCAAACATTGCTTTAATGTTTGAATAAAAGTTGTAAACAGTTGTACCTTTATTTAAAAATCTATCACTCAAGAAGCATTGTTGATTTTGGATGACTTTGTCATATTCGATCCATAAAGAAACTTGAAGCTGAATTCCATAAGCAGGGGTACATTCCATCTCATACAGCTATTCTGACAGAGCTCCCTCACCCATTTTTAGATGCCTGAAGTTAAAATAATGAAAAGTTTCTGTGCAAAAGCAACTCTCCTCATAAGTAAGTCCTTGTCTCCAGTAATTCTCATCTGGTATTTCCAGCTTCCTTAGTGCAATTTCAATATTGTTGTAGGACCAAATTTCATGGAATATTCACATGCATCTAACAGAGGTACTACAGTCCTCTAGTGCAATAAGACCTGCTCTTTCATATGAGCTGTACTGCCAGCGGAGAAGGGGGGAAATGACTGGTTGTTGTAGTGCAGTGATCACATGATGACTGACCCTGTCTGTCACAGATACACCTGGGATTGCACAAAGATACACTGTGCTTCTCATGAAACTTTGAGTGCATCGAGTTTGGGACAGAAGAACAACTTACCTACTCTGTTCCTGCATTCCCAGCTTCTGTGTGGATACTTCTCTTTGAATCATTTTTTCCTATTATTTACTGAATTTATTTTAGATAACGAGATGACTCTCTTCCCATCGTGATGAGTTTTGTACATTATTCTTTCCCTAACTCTTCAATGAAGTATTGAACATATTTATTAGCATAAGATGTATTGGAATTCACTTTTTTTTGTTATCATAACGAAGACATTTCTTCCAGCTGAAAGAAACTGAGGTGCAGTTATGAGTTAGAACTGTTATTGTCTTGTTCTGCAATATGCATCTGTTCTTCTCCAAGTTACATCTGGCAGTGGGCTACTGTAAAACCACCAATGCTCCCAGTAGTTCAATGGAACTAACACCTTTATCGAAGTTCTTTGAAACACACCATGCCATTGCACATGAGGCACTCCAGAGGTATGAAGCACATACACACAGACATTTTTATCCCAGCTATGGGAGAACAAGTGAATTTATTCTATAAAGGGAGAAATACTTCTTTCAACAGAGGAACCCAAATAAATGTGGACATCCCTCCCATATTATCAGTACTGTTCTCAAGTTTTCCTTGTCTAACTCACTTCAAAGACAGCTTCCATCAGCATATGGCAAGTAGCTTTTTGCTTCCAAGATGCCACATACCTATTCCTTTGGTCTCAATTTCCCCCAACTATATAGAACAAGACACAGCACAGCTATTCAGTTTTACATAACACTTACTTATTAGATGCAAATTTTCCACAGAAATTTGGTTTGCAATTCTATCATAAAGAAACCCATCTTATCTTACCAATTTCACTAAAATCCACCAGTTTTGCTAAACACACATTCCTATGTGTAAAAGAAACCACTAACCTGCTTCAGAGGATTGAACGGGATCTTGAAACTGGCAACTTGCTGAGTACAGTGGAGAAAATACCTGGATCAGGCATCCTGAGGAAGACCAAAGTACTGATTTCCTGATATCTGTGTAGTTCTTCTGTCCCAGCAGAGATGAAGAAAGAGACTTCAGCTCTCCTGCCCGTGCTAATCTCTCATCTCTAATCGTAGCTAAGAGATTTATTTCAAGGTTCTTATGCCACCAGGTTAAGTCCTGCAAAACAGGCCAATTAGCTGAGCGTGAGCTGAGATCTCACCAACAAAATGCATTTATAGTAACTTATTTTACCTTCTTGCACCCCAGAAGTTTTGGCTAGCAAGCAACAGACTGTTCTTCAGTACCTGCTAATGCCTTCATTAGTTCTTAACTTGCTCTTAACAATAAGTGTGGGTTCAAGAGAGAGAAGAACGAAACTTTGTGCTTCTGTCTGAAGAGAAAAATCTGTCTTGGCAATCATCGTTTACACTTGCTATTATGTGCCTTGCCCATCATTCCATATTTTTTGGATGGAATTGTCTGTTCTCTGTACTGATTCTGACTCTGTCCAAGAAAGGAATTCAAGTTACCGACAGCAATTGGATCATCCTGTACTACTCACAGTAGATTCTAGTTTGGGAAGCTTTCCAGGTTCAAGAATAATCTAGTAGAAACCTCTGTCCTAGGCTCTTAAAAGCTTTATCTCAAGCCAGAACCAAAAGCATCTTGTCCCCTGGCATTTCTGAGCCCAGCCTGTACTAATATGTGGGATGCACATTGCTGGGTTGAACTGACAATAGTAATAGCAACAAGCTGAGTGTGCAGCAATTCTCGATCAAGTTAGTGGTGATCTTGGTACCAGAACTGAATCACTCAGCAGGACCAGGGTTTGTCTATAGGGTTCATAATGCATCAGAGTTCAGTGAGCACGACTGACTGCGAGGGACTCTGTACCAGGGATAGCAGTGAATGTGAATTTTCTCAGCTAAATAGTCCTCTCCCAGATAATGATGAGCAATAAACCTGTACCACGATATTATTGTGATTCTAACTCTGTATTCTGGGAATATGCCTCCCCACCCTGTTTAAAGTCTCATGCTTCTGCAAATACAGACACCCCTCTGCATGCATCAGTATTACCACACTTGGGAAAGGTAAAAGATAAGTTATCACTGCAATTCAGTCTGTCAAAGTCTTGGATAAAGCAGAGGCTGGAATATCTAACTCCAATATCCTAAGAATTAAAAACAAACAGGACTTGTTCACTTGCCAGAAGTCATTCCATGCATTACTGCATGGAAAAGGAAGGATCATAACTGCCAGTGTCACTCTGTACCTCCGCGGGGTGAAAAACCCCAAGGACGTGTCCCAGCAGGATAATCATACAGTGAAACACTCTCCCTTTTCATTTTTTCTGATAGAATCAAACTCATAACTAATGGTTATGCTGAAAGCTCCATCCAACAATGCATTGCCTAATACCCTATGGCAAACTTTCACAGAGCTGCTTCCTTGATGTGTGGCACATCCCTGGAACCATGCAGGCTCCATGTGCCCTTTGTGGGTGTCCTGGGTTCAGCAGTAGCAGTCATTTTTCTCCTTCTTGGTAGCTGGTGCAGTGCTGCGTTTTGACTTTTGGCCTGCTGTTTCGGTTTGGCCAAGGACTTTGTGAGCCTAATGCTCTGCCAGGGAGGAGAGGAAGCCGTGAGGAAGCAGAGACAGGACACCTGACCCAAACTGACCAAAGAGGTATTCCATACCACAGCACGTCATGCCCAGGATGTAACTAGGAGTTACCCAGAAGGGCTGAGACTGCAGGGTTGGAGGAGATATCGGTCAGAGCTTGGTTGGGCTGGGGGGGTGAGTTATCGGTCGGCTGGTGGTGAGGTGTTGTATTCTCTTCCCTTGTTATTTCCTTTATCATTGTTATTATTGGTGGTATCAGTAGTGATTTGTGTTATACCTTAGTTACTGAACTGTTCTTATCTCAACCTGTGGGAGTTGCATTCTTTTCGATTCTCCTCTCCGTCCCTCTTGGAGTAGGGGGAGGGAAAGAAGGGGGGGAGTGAGTGAACGAGTTGACTGACTGTGTTTAAACCACCACATTGGGCAACTTCAGTTCACAAAAATATAATTTACCGTATCTTAATCTTTTAAAAAGAAATACCCAAGGTAGGGCTTCCAGCTTTCTATCTTGCTTATGTGCTGATGAACAGCACATCCAGGAAACCAAATCAAAAGCATATGGGATACATCTGGGACCTGTTGGACCTACTGCATATGGACCACACAAACACTTGCATAGGATCAAAGATACCTCAACCACAGTGAATTAGTCCTGTGCACATGAATCATTCATACTTTGGATGTGCTGTACTTGCGCAGACCACAAGGAATAGTAGATCTGTTCAAATGTGTACATTTGTGTGCAGATCAACTCTGAGCATATTCAACAAGTGAAATATATTCCTTGTGGGCAGCACAAGTACACAAATGCACACATTTGCCTGAGATTTTTGAGCTATTGCTCTGGCTGGAATGGGATATATTAGAAATCCTGGATAAATGTCTGAAATCCTTTTCTATTCCCGGAAAAAGTTCTTGTGTCAAAACCCACACATCTGTGGAACTCCAGACATATGTTACCCCTGAGTATTAGAAAATGTTATTGCCTCAGATACCTACTAGTAGAAAAATGCACCTTCCCTGTTGATGCTTTGCAATATAAACCTAGTATTTGCATGCATGACAGCAAGCAAGCAGAAGATGGCAGTGCTGCTGTATGTAGTTCTTTTCCTACAGTGCAAAGCAAGAAGCTTTATTTTATGTTAGAGAAATCAGAGGTCACTCACACAGCTAGGGCAAGCTCAGGAATGTATCATTGTAGGAAATGACTTAAATCCAACGTTATTGCACTTAGAGGTCAATGCTACCTGTATTTTTTGTTCCATGTTGTACTGGGAAATGGTTTCAACTGCAAAGTTAATATTAAAAGTTAAATTGCTCAGAAATTAGTATGGCAATCTATAATTAATCATGATGCACTTTCCTACAAACCCGTTGGGAAGTCTGGGCACCAAGACCACAATGATAGAGTAGCGTTTTGTACCTCAGCCGGAGTGATTATACATGTAGGTCTGCCATCTACCACCCACTTTCCTGCTAATAGTGGAGATCGCTGTGTTGTGGCTTAGGATGTGAAAGAGGTAAATTTAATAAATATTAGGTCAATTACTAATCTGTTTAGTACCGTTTATATACAAGTCCACAAGCAAGGACAGATGTATTCTGAATTAGCCCAATTAAACAGCTAGTTGGGATGATGCATGCTGCAAAATTTAATTTGACACCTATTTTCCAAAAGTTAATGCTTTGTTTTTATATTCCAATGGCTTTCCATTTCATCTTCTGTTTAATGCAAATGATAACTAATGAGAAGAGATTTTGGAGTGATGGACTAAAACTGGAGGCACTAAGTCTGACGCAAGCAGGTAGTAACATGTCAGTGCTTCAGAGTGCTTCTTTAACATGTCAGTGCTTCAGAGGGGGAGTCCATATTCAGGACTTTGGTAAAGTTAGGAATCACATGGTAGATACTGAGAGGTGTAAGTTATTAGGCAAGTAGAAGCAATTGGGTCATTGCAGAATATTAATCTCTGAATTGCATTTTTGAACTTTTAGGAAGGAAGTATAGTGTTATCTAGATGATTACAGTTGTTCTAGTTTGATGAAGACACCTCAGTTAAATCGATCATTTGAAATGCTTATGGAATAGCAGAGTTGGCAGAGGGATTATCAAAACTCAAGAGGTGATGGGGGTGGACAGTAATTTAAAAGAACCCAGTTTGTACATCAGTATGCCACTAAGAACTAAGTAAATTATATGTTTTGCAGCTACAGCTTTACACTGTACTGCCATTGTACCAGAAGACCCTTGTATGATGCAAAATACAGATCCTGTCATGGCAGCTCATTTAATTGCCTGAAGAACACCACAGAATAAACAAATCAGAAAAAGAAGTACTATTAATATTAATTTTTAGATGTTTGAAGGTTATAACAATATGGATGCTGGAGCCAGTCTCAGGCCAAAAGGAGATTATAGCAGGCTTGCATGAAGTGCAGTGCACATGTCCTGCAGTTCTTCAGGGCTCCTGTATATTACGGGAAACACCATGTGGGTACCTGTCAAGCCAGCTCTGATTTCAATCCATAGGAGCTGTACTGTCCACAAGCTCTGAGTCATCCACTCCTGATTCATGGTGAGTCATTACAAATGGAAAACTAAGGCACACAAACAGGATATTTACCTTTAAATCAGACCAGCAGTCTATAGAAAATGAATCTGTATTTTAAGTTGGTTGGTAACCTAAAGCTTCCATCTTGGCTGTAATTTTTTTCTGAAGACTAATCCATTTTTATGACCTATTCATAATTAGACCATGCAGCAATCTTGCTTTTCACATTCATATCATCACAAGCCAGTCATCAGGAAGCTTTTTTGCAAAATGGAATTACACACACATTATGAAGGTTTCCAACAAAATTCCCCTAACATCATGAGGTAAAATTTCCTTTTTCTGTTCCATATCTCAGACCATCAATACTTGGGTGCACTATACTGCCAACTGACCCTTCCTTCCCTAGCAAAGTAGTCAGATATACACTCTCACATTTCTCCTCGAAGAGACCTCCTATACTAATCAGGAAGTCTCCCTGTTGACACCTTATTATAAACCTGGTGTTGATGCTGGTTTTCATTCTCTAGACACTATTGAACTGAACAATATTACTCAGGACATCTTGTAGGGAATCTGAGATTCTTTTAGAAAGAAGAAAAGTTACCAAAAGAACAAAAAGAGACTCACAAAGTTTCTGAAGCTGTCAAACAGACAAAACCCACCACCTGGACACAGTGCTCTTATTGTTCCTCTGAGAAAGATCCAAGATCTTTGTCTGAAGTCCCTTCAGCAGTGACTTCATGCTTATTGACACTGTGTCTTGAAACGATGTACGAAAAAAAGATGGAAGAAACTCAGTTTTCTTACTGTAGAGAAGACTGATGGTGAGAGGTAAAAATAGTGTTCAAGCAATTTTAAGGTAGCTGGATAGAGGAAGCAAATAAATTCCTTTGATGATAGGTGGACAAATAACAGGTGAAATCTTTCTTTTAGTGAGACCAGTGAAACAGCCCATGAAAAAGCTTGATTTCCATCAACAGTATACTTTTAGAAGAGGTTGACAGGTATCAGCTGGGAATATTATAGGGACAGGTAGTCCTTCCTTTGGAAAAGGGCTGAATTCGATATCTCAAGGTCTTGTGATTTTTCATTTGCTATGAACTGGATACCTGCTTAAATGTCTACAAAACTCTGTAAGTCCTATCCCGTCCTTGGTCAATACTTCTTGTGCTCATTGACTTTTACCTGAAATGTGAACTTATAAAACATGTTTACCTTTTTCCTCTTCAGTGAGAGCACTGCTTCCATCTCCATTTATATACTAAGTTTTAATTGCAATTTTCAACAAATTCTAGAATTTGGTGGATGTTCATTTATTGACTAACTGAACCTCTTGGAAATGAGTACTTATAAAGTCTGTGCCTCTTGCTATCTATCCTGCCCCTTTTTGTCACTTCTCTTTTATAACAGTCATTTGATTTCTGACTCTCCACAAAAAAATCTGGAGCTTTGTCTCCTGTTCTGTGGTTAACTAAGCAGTAACATTAGTCAGAACTTCTGACTCATAAAGAAATAAGTAACCCAAACACCCTGATGTCTAGGCTAAGAAATTCCAATGAATGTATTTGAAACCAAGGAGTCTGTACTTCACAGGATGAATCATCCACTCCCATACACATTCATCTGAAGAAAATAACAGCAGAGTTCAGAAGGTGTCACAGATTGGTCCTCAGGTCACCCTTCTCCATCAGCAGATCTATGCATAGGTACAGGTTTTTAATTTTTGAAGATTCCTTGATGAAACATTAGGTCATTCATTTCAAACAAAAAACACTGATGAAAATTCTCATTTATCCCACTAGGAAGATTTCCAGGAAAGCAAACATTTTTCCATGATTACCTATTATGAAGCCTAAGAAAGCAGAAGTTGAAACACTAGACAGTTGTGTTCCATCTACAAACAATCCTGGAAGTTCTGATCTAGTTCTTCAAACAAGAAAGGAGGCTATTGGGAATTTATATGTGGGTATACTCTCATTCTCTATTCTTTTTAAAATAACAAAAAATAATTAAAGCTAGAACTGTATCCAGTTTTGTCCAGAAACAAGTTTGCTGTCACTTTGGTCTTTAAAGGCTTGTTTCTATATTTTTAAAATTCACACCAGTTCTATTTATTGCCTCAGTAGGTGACTTAATACTTATTATTAAATATTGAAGCTATATTAGACATGTTAGAACATATTTGCAGGACTGGGAATTATTTTTCACACTGCCATTTTTCTCTCCCTCTTCCCTCCCCCCCCCCCCCCGAGCTTTCTGTAACAACTACTTGGTTATAATAAAGTTTGGCCAGGTA